GAAATATAAAGGGCAGATGGACAGCTGGGATGTTTCAGAGAAGTTTCTGGACTTTTCTGGAAGATTCTGGATTCAATTCTACAAGGTCATGGGGTTTTCTTCCCCTCATCACCCTTTGCAAATGCGTTGAAGATACATTGTATATTCAAGGAAATCAAAATTATCCTAGGCTTGTCACAGAGATCACAGAATTTGAAGGAGGTTTGGAAGGACTTTTTAAAACTGTATCTCCATGTCTGCTATAATGTATCCAAGTCTTGTAAAGACCAATAATTTATTCTTTTTAATGAGACAGAAAGTATTTCCCTTTCTAATCTCATCGTCTGATTAGAAAGAAAAATATATATATATATCTCCAAAACACCATATAAAAATTGAGTTCCAGGGAGAAACATATTTTTTCTTTTCTGTCAAAAGTGGGAAATAAAAAAAAATCCATTGCTCTGGTTCTAAACTGCTGCTTAGGTGAGCTGGAGCTTGGAAAAATGACAGATGAAATATACGAAGAGTGAACAGGTGTCATTCTGGAAGGTTCTATGATGTTACCATTGTGGAAGGTTAACTAAGACTTGCTTCTCCGTCAGGACAGCAGTACACCATTAACGCCCATAGGTTTTTTTTTGTTTTTGCCATGAATGCTTGTTAGTCAGGAGGCACTTTGCTACAAATTGCAGTCCAATTATATCCCCTGAAGCTTTGCGAACTTCTAGAAAGGATAGTTTCCAGAGAGGCGGGGCCGAGTCTTTTTTTGTTTGGTTTCCTGCAAAGCCTAGGTTGACGTTAACCTCAGTCTGAAATCCTCCGCGAAGGCCATGGTGTCTCCTCCCGCCCCCCAAAACAAATCCTTTGGTGGGTAGGGAAGGAGGGAGGGAGGGGTGAGCGCTGCCCCGGTCCCCCAGCCTGGCTTTTATGTGTTTTGGTTTTTTTTTTCTTACACCCCACACAATAAGGTCCAGCTCCGGTGTCTGCCCTTGTGCGGGGGGCGGGGGGGGGCGGCTCACAAGACGTGGATGTAAGTGGTTTTGGAGTCGCTACCCAGCACATTCTTGGCGGTGCACTTGTAGAAGCCGGCGTCGCGCTGCGTGGCGAGCTGAATGGTGAGCGCTCCCTGAGGCTGCAGGAATCTGTTCCCGTAGAGCCGAGCGTGAGCACCAGCCGTCAGGTGTGACTTGTCGGGTAACTCCCAGGTGATCTCAGCTTTGGGGATACCCACGGCCATGCAGTTCAACTTGACCGTGTTCCCCGGACGGGCGTAGACGACCGGCGTGGGCTCGCTGGTGATGCGCGGCGGATAGGCGATAACAATGACCGGGATACTGGTGACTGTCGGCCCGTGCTCGGTCTCCACCCTGCACGTGTAGGTCCCCCTGTCAAACACGGAGGCCTCTCGCACCGTCAGGGTGCCGTTGTCCCAGGCGGAGAAGCGTCCCAGGACGTGGGGGCTCTCCAAAACCACGCCGTTGGGAAGCGTCCAGGAGAACCGTCCCCGCCGACTGTCCCCGGGCGGGACGCACTGCAGATGCAAGGTGTCCCCGTTGATAATGCTGACCAGGTTGTGGTGCGGGTTACTCACCTCGGGTTTCAGCCCTACCTTGAGAGAGACCAGCCTCTCCGCGTGGCCCGCGGCGTTCCTGGCCACGCAGCGGTACGCGCCCGCGTCCACAGAGGACAGGTCGCTAATGTGAAGCATGCCGTCCTCTTTATGATAGAACCGCTGGAGCTGTCGGCCGCTCAGCAGCTCCGTCCCGTTGGGGAGAACCCAGGATAGAGAGGGCAGCGGGGTCCCCGCGGCGGAGCAGTTGAGGCTGATGGTGTGGCCCGCCGTGGCCGTGATCTTCTCGCTGACTGGGTCGTGGAAGACGGGTTTGTGCATGGGCTCCAGCACGGTGAGCTGCACCACCATCCTGGCCTCCCCGCCCTCGTTGCGCGCAATGCACACGAGCTGCACGGAGTCGGTCTTTCTCAAGGTTTTGATGTCCAGCGTCCCATTGCGATGGACGGTGACGCGGTTTCCAAAGTAGGGTGCGGGCAGGATCACGCCCTCCGGGAAGGCCCACAGGACCCTCGGGGCGGGGACGCCTTCTGCCTGGCAGGGGACCAGTTTGCGGCTCCCCACAGCCGCGATCTCCCTCACGGTGGTGAGAGCATCCGCTTTGCCGTTGATCTTGGGCGGCTGGACGGTCACGTGAATCCACACCGTCTTCCTGTCCTCGCCAGCGCTGTTCCGCACCACGCAGGTGTAATTCCCGCTGTCGGAGCGCTGCGCTTTTTGAATAAGCAGCGTGCCGTCCTGGTAAATCTGATACTTCTCCGAGGACGTGGGCATGAGCCTGTTGGTCGGGGATAGCCAGGTCACCTTGGGCAGAGGCTCCCCTTTCGCGTCACAGGGGATGGTGACCACTTCTCCGTAGGGCACCCGCACCACCAGGTAGGTCTTGTTCAGGATGGCTGCGGGCTCAGCCACCACCTTGACCCGCACTCGCATCTCGTCTTTGCCCACCTGGTTTTCCGCGAAGCAGGTGTAGTCCCCCTCTTCCCTCATCCCCACCTCGTTAAAGTACAGCGTCCCGTTGTTGAAGACCACGTAGCGCTTGGTACGCGCACCGCTGTCGTCCGACTGCATGAACGAGTTGACCAGGCTCCCGTCCGGCAGGCTCCAGGAGATCTCGGGGTTGGGAAGGCCCGTGGCCACGCAGTCCACCTTCAGGTCGCCCCCGTAGAAGACCTTGTGGTCATTCTCCTTGTGCTCGATTTTGGCCGGTTTCATCACCACGTTCACCTTGAGCACCACGTAGTCGTCGCCCACCTTGTTGCGCGCCACGCACAGGTAATCGCCCGCGTCTTTCTCTGTCACCGACTTCACCACCAGGGTCCCATTGGCGAACACCTTGACCCTGGAATCGAAGCTGATGGAGGAGAAAAAAAATAAATAAATAAGATGTCAATTTTAGGCTTTAGGTCACTGGAATAAAACAGGAATGCACTGCCGGCCGAGGGTGGTGGCTCAAGCCTGTATGTAATCCTAGCACTGTGGGAGGCCGAGGGGGCTAGATGGCCCTGAGCTCAGGAGTTCCAGAGCAGCGTGAGCCAGAGTGAGGCCCCCTGTCTCTACAAAAAAAGAAAGGCCACTAGTTGTGGTGGGCACCTGTAGTCCCAGGTACTTGGGAGGCTGAGGCAAGAGGATCACTTGAGCCCAAGACTTTGAGGCTGCTGTGAGCTTTGAGGCCAGGGCACTCTACCCAGGGCCACAAAGTGAGACTCTGTCCCAATCAATCAATAAATAAATGGGAAATAAAATAAAATAAAATAACCCTTCAAACTAAAACAATTGAAAGCATAATAATAATAACAAAAAACAAAAATAAAGTGGCGCCTGTGGCTCAAAGTGGGAGGGCACCAGCCCCATATGCCAGAGGTGGCAGGTTCAAACCCAGCCCTAGCCAAAAACTGCAAATATAAAAATAAAAAAAGAATATACTTCACTGTGCTTTGAACTTCTTTCAAAAATAATTTAATTAGTGATCCTTAACTATTTTCTTGGCACATATAGGATCATATCAGAGCACATTAGTTAAAAATCACTGCTTTTGATACTACTTTTATTCTTCAAAAAAAAAAATTTTTTTTATAAAGATGTTCTGGCCTGGCTCAGCGCCCATAGCACAGTGGTTATGGCACCAGCCACATATAGTGAGGTTGTTGGGTTTGAACCCAGCCTGGGCCAGCTAAGCAATAATGACAACTGCAACCAAAAAATAGCCAGATGTTTTGGTGGACTCCTGTAGTCCCAGCTACTTGGGAGGCTGAGGTAAGAGAATTGCTTAAGCCTCAAAGCTTGAGGTTGCTGTGAGCTGTGATGCCACGGCACTCCGCCTTAGGGTGACATAGTGAGACTCTGTCTCAAAACAAAAACAAAAACAAACAAATAAAAAAAGATGTTCTGGCCTAACAAGAGGCAAGAAAGTAGCTTTGATTTTGATCAAGTCGTTATGATGATGCCTTGAGTTGCAATTCTAAAATTGGATTCATCGACACTGGGCCATACTGGGGTAAAGCCTTCTATAAAGTTGGATGACACTCACTAATCAAAACCCCCAAGGGTGACGTACCCTTCTGTCTGTGAAGTCCACGCACATGTGAGTTAATATTTATAACTCATAAATATGTGAGTTAATACTTAGACTTTTTGTGTGTGTGTGTGGCCAGGGCTGAGTTTGAACTTATCACCTCCGTTATATGGGGATGGCGCCCTACTCCTTTGAGCCACAGATACCACCTGTTTAGAAAGATTTTTTTTTTTTTCAGTTTAAAAAACACAACATTGAAGGAATGATGTATAAAAACCTTACTGACATGGATTATTGAATTAGTTGGAATGTGGTAAGAATGAAACCTCAGAGATGATGATTTATGATTGATTAAGGATTTATATGGTATTCTTCATTTATTACACATGCAATATTTTTTATAGATACTGTGTATCCCTGGGCCATTCACAATGAACTTTTTGAACAACCCAGAGAAAAGCCTGGAGAAGTTTTCATTTTTTCAAGTGCCCATATTGAATTTTCAATTTCACTTACATTATAATGGGGGTGGGTGTAATTGGGTTTTAATCCCTTATTATTTCAAGAACACTACACTAGCCTAGTGGCATGTCCAGGACAGCATCATAGATCTTTTTTTCCTATTTTTCTTTTTTCTTTTTTTTTTTTTTTTTGCAGTTTTTGGTGGGGGCTGGGTTTGAACCTGCC